CTTCGTGCCTTCAGGCATTCGAAATAACTAGTGCTCCAATAATTTACATTCGCTTGGGATACAAATTTGAGAAGCAAAGTATTTTTCATTTTAAAAGTGCAGCAGTGTTCACTTCTTCTTGAAGCCTATGCAACCATAAAATCTTCCTAGAGTGAGCACTTAATTCTTTTTTCTACTCAATAAAATTAAGTTGATACATTAATTATATACATCATATTTGACATTTAATAGTTCCCTAAACCAAACATTTTTATGCATAATTTATACATGCAAAAAAAAAGTTAAAAAAAAAATATTATTTACAATTCTTTAAAAAATTACAATCATTTATAATTTCTATCAATTTTCACATGTTAAAAAATCTTGCATGGTTAGTAATATCATTGAAAATATTTTTTGTGTAAAATTATATTATTAGTCTCCTAATTATTACCCATTCACTTATGCAATTGAATTTTCACACTTGTTATAGTTAAAAGTTATATCCCTAAAATAGCATATGTTACTTGTAAAATTAAGGACAAAGCCACAAATAAATAAATCAATAGATATATTACATATTTTTTTGAGTAAGACTATCAATTCCTTTTAGATTTGAAAATATAATGCTAAAGCATACATGATTAATATAGTTGTCAAGTTGGTCAAAAAGTGCTCAAACTAATCTAGAATGGTAGTGTTATCGTTGATTATCCGGATCTCAAATTAGGGTAATATGTATCTCTGTAAAGGACAATATAATTGTTAGAGAGTCGCACAATAATCGAAAGTTACACTCACCGGTTACTTTTTCTCTTTCTCTATTGGTTGCTTTTTTTGGTCTAATCAAAATAATCGTGTCAACTAAACATATTTCATTTGATTTTTTTTTAAATCTAAATGATTTTGTCACTACAAGTTGTGACGGGTGATTATTTCATATACTATAATATGACCATATATTTTATTACATAAGAATCCTAAATTTATAAAATATCAAAATAATCTCATACTTTTGTTAAAAATTATAAAATAATCTCAATATATGTCCAAAATTTATTCATATATGTCCAAAACGTATTTGACGCGTGTCCAAAAGGCCATAGTCATTTAGATATCTATACAAAATAATATAGGGTGGGCAAATCAATATATATACAACAAAAATACTGAAATTATTTATAGATAATTTTTGCGCAAAAAAAATTCAGGGTGGGCACATGGCCTATCCTAGCTCTGCCCATATTAATACATCATTCGGTTTGTAAGGAGTTAGATGAGAGAAGGTAATCCACATCCCTCTCCCCCCCCCCCCCCTCTCCAAGTTTCAAAAAGAAAAAAAAATAGATTGCTAGTATCCAAAAAAGGTCATACTGATATGTACAAATTAACCTAAGGGATGCCTTAAATTGCACGAGGAGTGGTTTACAACCACACAAGTTGATGGTTATAAAAGAGGGTGGGTGAAGATCTGAGCAAGATGTACGAAAGAGTCTTTTATTTAAGTTTCCGTTTACTCTCCCTTACATGCTTACACATAAAACCTAACCTATCCTTTTTGGCACATGGAATTCACTTAGGCAGACGTGGATGAAAACCTAAGATTATATATATATATACTAGTCATTGTTCTTGCTTGAAGACACTATGTTTTAAAAAAAATGCGCTTAAAAGAAATGTATAACACAAAATACTAATTAATATAGACCCATTATTTAAAAAAACAATCGATAAAATGCTCATGCGTAAAGGCACTATGTAATAAAAAAAATTCTCAATTAATAAAAATTAAAATCCATAAAACAATTGTGCACGGTGCAACAAAAAAAAATCCAACATTAAATTTAAATGCGAAATAATCAAGCACTGAATAAGCACAATTTGTAAGCAAAAATGTAGGTAACCTCAATGGTACCAATGGAACAACAATCAATCAATTCGAGCACAAAATCTTAATTTCCACTTAAGCACAAAATAAAACTATTCAAGGAAAAAAATCCTATTGAAACACATAATTTGTGATGCCCCAAAATCCGGGGGGTCTTTTATTAACCGTTAACCACCCGTCAACCCGTGAAAAATACCCGTGATAGCCACACAACTGGACTCCATGTTATTAACATTCCCTTTATTGGGATTTCAACCCGCACATAAAACCTGTGTTCGTTTTATCATTGGATCCAACCGTGGTGCAACGTACCACTATTCATACTCTATTATAGTCCATTTATATCCTTAGAAACCCAAGAACACATAGCTCAAAGTATGGCAATGCATTCTTAAAATTTTAGAATTTTTGAAAACCTTCCGGAAGGTTTTGGCTCGACCTTCCAGAAGGTTTTATTTACTGGAAAAGTTCCTTCAATGGTTTTTCAATGATCTTCTGGAAGGTTTCCTCAATCTTCTGGAAGATTTAGCATACTGTAATCCTATCTTTAAGAAAGAAGTGTCGACCTTCCGAAGGTGTGTTAAAACCTTCCGGAAGAAGTTGCACACTAGATTCCTTGATTTTTGAAGAATGTGAAGACCTTTCGGAAGGTTAGAATCGACCTTCCGGAAGGTTTCACCCATTGTCCAACTTTCCTCCTTGTCTTTGTCCAAACCTTCCGGAAGAAGTTGCGACCTTCCAGAAGGTTTTGCCCAGAATTGTCTGTTTCACCTATTTTTTATTTCCAATTCATCCAAAAAATTTCCAAACTTTTTCCCAACATGTAAAATATAGTTTCTACATTATACATGATCCATACAAGTTCTATCACATTTAATTCCTTATGATCACAAGCCCATTTATACAATTTCATGCTCAAAATAGAATTTTACAAAAATTTTACAAAAACTTGCTTTCAAAATCCACAAACCGGTTTTTCTTCATCGTTGAGGCCCCGAATGTGAGTCTTCCACCGGTACGAACTCCGCACCTGAAATGTTTCCCATATAGGGTGAGTCAATGCCCATTAGAATGTTTCCTACAGAAGCTACTCCCCGACCTAAGTGCATATGCAATATTTATAACAACAATCATTCCAACAAAGATTTAAGTAAATCGAAGTTGGAATCTAACATGTCATGCCATGAAATGAAATGATATCCATTCATGCAATTTTCCCAAGCCCTTCCCGGCTGCACAACACATGCAATGTCAATGTGTATAAAATCAAATTTTTTTAGCTTCGAACATTTACCTTCACCCCATACTATGCAGTGAATATCAAAATCGGGCTTTCCAAGCCCCCGCCATTAGAGTTACACACCCAATGACTATTTAAAACCTCCGGTTCTTTCTTGGGGTGGGTATTTATGGACTTACACCAATGGTCACCCAGCCGACACAGAATTCATGGACTTTCACTAACGGTTCTGCATACACCGACATACTTTATGAGCTTTTATACCAATGAAAGTGCGTATCCAAATACCGGGCCTCTCACCCTAGGGATAGTCTAACCCCAACCCAATTCTTTTTTTCATGCAACCGTGCAACTCAGCCGGATATTCAATCCAACTTTTCTGAGCCCACCCATCATCCACGTACGTGGTGTTTGATGCCAACCATGCACCTACACTCATAAAATGCGATGTCTCCGTGCATATGCAATGTAATGCACTATTGCTATTTCAATGTCATGGTCATATATAATGAATGGCATATGAGCAAAATCAACTACATTTACACAAGTTCTATGACAATTTATATCCGAAGCATATAATCACCAAACTTTCTCATAATGTTATATATTAATATTTCATTTTCAACAACAATTAACAAGCATGTTATTACATAACATATGCTAACAACACACTTAATTCTCAAGGCATAAAATAAACACATAACATGCCCACATAACACCCAATTCCATGGATTACATTGAGTCTAATTCACAATTCATTTCAAGGTAAAATTTTATTTACCCAATTTCAATACCCATTTCATTAATTTTCACAACATAGGTAATGATAAAATCCACTTATCAACATACCCATTACATACTACACCCTAGGTTGTTAAATAAACCTAAGTAGAAAGGAACCTACCTCTTGAAGCCTAAAGAACGACTGTAAGAAGTCTCAAGAACCCGCTTCTAATCCAAATTACAAGCTTCCAAAAATTCTCGTACCTTGATCTTTAGTAAAACTCATCGTTTTTGGTACGTAAGCGTAGCCCTTGGCCAGGAGAACTACTTTAACTCTTGGCTCGAGTGGATTTGAGCACTCAAACTTCCTAGATCGTAGAGAGAATATGGAATCTTCCCTCACTTTTCCTCTCTTTCTCTCAACATTGAAGGCCGGTTGAAGAATGGGGAAAAATCTGATTTTTTCCCTATTTATACTCTTAGAATATTTGGCCCACAACACGCCACACGTCCTTCTTTTCCCCGGGTCCGTTTTCGTCCCGAAACGATTAAATGATTTCGTCCCGGTTCAAGTTCAAACTATATTTATTTTTAATTTGCTTGAAATTATTTTCTAACTTTTGAAATTTTATCAAAATATTGTTTTTGGGTCACCCGAGACTTGACCGTCTCGTAAAACGTAAAAAATACGACTATCTCAGAATTCGATGAAATTTGACAGGTAACTAGATTTCGTGAGACGAATCCAACAATGAGGTTTGTTTTGTCATCCGAGATCTAGAAAAATTCAGTTTTTAACCAGTACTTTAGCGATAATTTACCGTTTTGCCCTTTTTGTAAAAAGTTTAAATTTATCGGATTTTACATAATTCCCAGCTACTCCAAAAAAAGTCCTAATTACTCTCAAATACTAATTCCAATAATCCCAAAAACTAACATGTGCACATATCACAATAGATTTGGCACACTGCGTAACAACGTGATGTCAACTGTTTTAAGTGTTACATCCTACAAATGTTTGCATCTCTCATGAAAGGACCAACTCCACTTTGTCAAAGTTGCATGAAACAATACCTCAAATCACTCGGCATACATAATTTTAACTACTACTACACAGATTCACTTGTGTCCCAAAAACACTTCAAGAACAACCTAATCTATTTTTTGGGGTTATAAAATACCTCCATCTTCAGGCAAATCAGAGGTCCAAGTGAGGTTGCCTCTCAACAGCTGCATAATCAAGGTGTTGTCCTTGTATAAATCCTCATTCAAGGTGTCCAACTCTGCAATTGCCTCGTCAAAAGCTTGTTTAGCCAAATGGCATGCCCTGCAAATCTAAAAACCAAAACAGATAATCAACTTTTTTTATTATAAAGGGGTGAAATTGTTTCAATAGCCTTGCACAGATAACACAAAATGCAAAATAATTACCTCTTAGGAGAATTCATAATCTTGTAGTAGAAAATAGAGAAATTCAGAGCAAGGCCAAGACGGACTGGATGGGTCGAAGGGAGATTTGTACTTGCAGTTGTAGACGTAGCCTAATAGGGAAATAACAACCAGAGGACATATCAAGTGAAAGTAAAAAAATGCTGCGAAATGCATCTCTATTTATAGAATGTAAAGATGAACATGCCTCATACCCCCTCAATCAGTAAGATTCTATAGCAGCAGTCCCCCAATAGAATTTTAAAAGACGAATTTAATTAAAAGGGGGTATGAATATGAAGAAGGAAAGGATGGAAGAGGAACAAACCCAGCCAAAAGGCAGCCTTTTTCCCATGCCGTTTTCTAACATCCATATATCCAACTACCAAGAAATTGACAGAAGGAAGAGAATGGAGTATTGGTTTTAGGTTCACTTTGCCAATAGAAAAGCCACAGTCTCAGAATTTATATACTGGAAGTCAAGGGTTATGCTTGTTACTGAATTAAAGGGTTTGCTTCTTGCTTAAGGATTCACAAATAGGCCAAACTCAAAAAGATGATGCAATCTAAATCAATAGACCAGTGGCCACAAAAAAACAAAAAACAAAATATGAGACATGAGCTGAAGATTCAGGACTGTCCAATGTAAAAGATCCAAGCTTCAGCTACCCACCAAAGATAAACAGCAAAATATCATCCTTAGTTCCCAAATACTTTACGAATTACAAGAATGCAAAAGAGATATACTTGTGGATGAAGCAGACGAAAAAGAAAATCTGAATGTGAAAGCAAAGAACAATGGAAGCAGCCACATTTAAAAAAGGCAATATCAAAATATTAGAAATAAACTTACCGAGGACTGAGAATACAAGAGAAAAGTGTCGATGGAGATAAGCCAGAACAGCCGCTGGAGGAACTCATCGGAAACTGCCTAAAAGTGAAATAAATTCAGTGCATGAAATAAAAAGAGAAAAAATTCAGTTCGAAATCTAAAAATGATAAACTCGAAAAAAGATCAGACAAAGGAATCAGATTCAGATATTCAACGTGATTAAGTAGAGTCGAAATGAGAATTCTTACCGCTGGAAGATATCGAGAGTCAAGGAGAACGCCCCAATCTGCTTCAAACACATATATGGTGGAGTGGGTGCGACTTTTAGATGCTTACAGTGAACTCAGACCCTTTCACAGTAAACTCTGGCCTAATAAACCTGATCAAAGAACCAAATCCAATACAGTAAAATGTGAAGATGATCAATAATTAGAGAAAATAGGATACATGAAATTGGGGAATAGAAGAACAAAACCCCAAAAATCATAGAATGCAATACAACCAAACAAAAAAGACATTAAAGATGATCTATCAAGAGCAAAATAGGAGCAAATCAAAGGGTGAACATAAATAAAAAAAAAAAGTGAGTTAAACACCCTATGTGTACCTCAACTAAACACTAATACAACCTATAAACAGAAAACACTGATACAATCGAACAGAAAAGGCATTAAAGATGATCTATCAAGAGCAAAATAGGAGCAAATCAAAGGGTGAACATAAAAAAAAAAAAAAAAAGTGAGTTAAACACCCTATGTGTGCTATGTTGTGTTGGGTCTCTATCTCTTTCTATAAAATTCAGTATAATACTAAACAACATAGAAATAACTAAAACCTCTAATGCATTTGTGTGCGTGCGATTGAGTAGAGAGAGCAGAGAGATTGGGACCTGAAACAGTTTCCAAATCAAACCACCATGAGTGATCTGTAGCTTTGGACGGCGGCACAAAAGAGGGATCTGATGCTAGAGAAAGAGAGAAAGAGAAGGTTTGAGGTGCGTATAGATGAGGAGGAAAGAGGAGGGGAGGAGAGGAAAGGGGGGAATGAAGTCTTGCCCTCTTAGAGGTGTGATATATTGGGAGAGAGAGGCGTGAGAGAA